AAGAGTCGGACACGACTTAACGACTGAACAACAACAACAAATATATTTTAGACTTCTAAAACTGAAGTAAAGTTCTTAAGATGATTAGTTCCAATGGTATTGTTAGACAACCATTCTGACTTCCTAATATGAAGTCAGCCAATTTATGTCTATATTAGATGTTAAATCTGTTTAAGAACATTTATTTCCAGGTAACATATGCTTGCTTCTGAATAGGCAACCTGCTTGATTTAGCTTACAGTATAAGTCAAGGAATACATAGGCACAATCCACATTCATATACAAGATCACAAGGGGTAGGGCTAAAAGCTTCAGTTCCTTTGTAATCACATAGGTTGTTTCTTTGCTACTTAATAGCAGAACCCTCCCCCCCATTGTCTTACTCACCATCATGATGATAAATGATTGATTACAATGTGTCTGCTAACAGGACAGCTAATTACTGAGAGCTTTAGTAGTCACACTGGTAGCCAATTAAGAGAAAGGTCTCTGATCAATCATAGAGCCCTCACAGAACAACTGCCCAGAGAGGAAGGGCTCTCTGATCAACTATACTGTCCCCATGCTGTTGCTGTTAGAATAGCTGAGCAGCCTCTTCAGCATCAACAGTAAGCATAATCACAGGGGGAGGGGGAGGGGGATCCAAAATATGGCCTCTCATTTCTTTAGAGTAGAATAAATCATAACTACCTGGGTGAAATTCAAAACATGCCCTCAAAGGTTACTAGCAGCCCAGGAACTGCAAGTTGTCAGTCTGTGTTAAATATAAAAGCACTGTCTGTGGAATAAGCAAAATATAATAGAGGTGTCATTTGCATAAACTTCATCAGTATAGGAGAGTTTATATTTTCTTTATTTCTAAAGACATAAAAAAATCAGTATACCTTCCGCGTTTGATATGGTAAAAAAATATGATGGCATAAAGCACCTTTTGAATATCTCTCCCCACAGCAAGAAGACAGAGCATCACTGGCCACCCCACTGTCCAAGCCGTCAGCCCCCACAGTTGCATCCTCTACAGATATGCTCCATAGTAAGCTTTCCCAGCTCCGCGAATCACGGGAACAATACCAGCACATTGATCTGGACTCCAATCAGACCCATGCTGGCATTGGAAGTACCACTTCCTCTTCCACAGCATCCAATATTGATGATTTGAAAAAAAGACTGGAGAGAATAAAAAGCAGTCGCAAGTGAAATTGTGTGAGACGGTTTGGCTATTGCAGAGCTGTCCATCTTTAGTTGACTAAACTAGAAGTTTTCATAGTTAAGTGGCCTCATGCAGGCCTTATGTATACAAACTGGTTTCTGTGTATAATACAGCAGATCTTGGAGGAGGATCCAAGTCAATGTGGCACAAATCTTTGTATATATTTTGCTTCTTTGTGAGCATTTCTTGACTGTAGAAGACTGTCCGTGTATTAGTTTTAGTGTACAGAGCTGTAAACAACAATTCTCCTGCTCAGTCCAGTTTCTCAAAACTTGGTTTTATCTTAGCTCTCTTAACTCTTAGAAACTTTTCATTGCATTCATTTTTAATTTTGTGAATTACTTCTCCATATAGTCCTTGAACTGTTTCTGTATGGACGCATGGCATGAAGCAACTAATTTAAGTGTCTTTTTGTAAATAAAGTTTGCATTAACTCTCTATGGGAGCAGCAGTGACTGTTGGTGGCAGATGTTCATCCATGTTCCTAATTGCTAGCGTGATTCAGCATTTTAGTTGTTAAGTGAGCGTGTGTTTAAGTCACTATAGCAAATGAACTTTCATTGGGAAGACATGGAGAAGCTGAGACACTAATGTGTAAACATGTTCCAGATAAAAGAAGCTTTTAATATTAAAAATATTATTACTGTTATAGAAAACTCTGATGCAAAGCCAGAACATTTTGCATCTCAGACAATATCTTCAAAAGCTCTTCCTAGAATCCTAATCAAGTTCAATAACATACCCTGGCTAACACTTTTGTACCTTTTGAGGACTGGTATTAAGCCTTTTTGCGCATTAGATTTCCTCAAGATAGATGAAAAGTATTCTGTATTCAAGATGGGCAGATAGTCTGGGTTTTTCTTAATGCTATTCTGTTCATGCAGAATCCATGTTCTCTTATTACCCAAGAAGTTGCTAGCACGTTTGTGTTAAATGTACGACCAGAAATTGCTAATAATGATTGAGATCTTTGGGATTCTACTTCCAAAATTATTATGCTTTGAAGTGAATAGATATTGTGACTATTGAAGGTCACACTATTTGTCACAATATACATCCACTTCAGAGCAGAGTTGTTAGTTGCGAGGAATTCTCTGACTGACTTGCAGCTCTTTTATGCATGATTGCCTCATAAAATCTGGTCCTCTGAGTGCCATAGCATAGAGTTTCTGTAGCATCTTTAGCACTTCCCATGTTCCTACTATAGTAGATATCTTGAACTGAGTCCTGTTGCTATGACATACCATACTCCCTGGAGCATCAGCTGCTTTTACAACTGACATAGATTTCATTTGCATCTTTATGCTTGTTAAGCTTTGGCTGATAGTGCTGGTGCTATACAGTAGTTCTGTATTGCAGCCAGTCAGTTTGGTAATTATCTGTAAAAATGTAATTGGTCACTGGATGCATATATGATATGAAATCTGGTGGAAGGTTGGTGTAATCAGAGTGCTTATCCCTAATATGTGGATTATCTTATTTATAAGATTGCCTCTACTTGCCTTGAAACCTATTCTAATTTGCAGTCTTTTCAACTGAAACTACTACATATAGAATTACTTGCCTTAGTTAGGAATATTAAAGAATGAATCAGCACCTGTCCAACTAGATAAAATAGGTTTTGTGTTTAAAAGCCAGAATAATCACTTGCTAGCACTTATGGTAGGGCCTTGAAATGGTGTGAAAAATATATGTATTTTGCTAACATAGTTTTCTTCTGGTACACTATTAGAAATTGTAACAAATCCCTAATTTTTCAATAATATACAAAAGTTCACTGATCACTACAGATTCTATGAGATAAACATTGGATTATAACATTCAGGGATATATTAGAAATAATAATTGGAAGTGAAGCTTCTGGGCCTAACTTTGTCTACAAATATACTTTGCTTCTTTCCCCTTTCCTCCTTGCCATGTGTGGCTTTTATCACTTTGATAAGTATCATTTTAATATTGGTTTCCAAAATGCCCTATAGTATTTAAATCATTTTTAGCTTTAACTTAGTACCAATGGAAATGTTTCTACAGTACATTTGAATAAATGTTACCTTTTACTATTAATTTCTCTGTACTTCCTGAATCTTGATGATACAACTTCTTGGTGGAGTAGCTATGAAACCTATTCTAGGAAAAATAGAACTAAATTCTTTTGCCAGTGGTTCAGAGAGTGACAATTTCTCAGTTACTATATAGTGAACATTTTTATTGGTATTAACATTGTTACTTAATGGATACTTATGTAATATATTCAGTTTTCTTCTTCTGTCTTTATAGAGCTTCACTTACTAAGTGGAGGAATGTTTGCTGCTGTATTAAAAGTGACTGACAGCTCTAAAAATAGTGAGATCATTGCATTGTTGCTGCTACGAGTTTCTCGAAAGAGAAGGAGTTGCTTCAGTGCTGTTGCAGACTGTCATTTTATTGCCCTTAGAATCTGCTCATCTGTAATGCATCCTGTTCAGTGCAAAATGGGCTGTGTGCTTGGCCTATTCTTCTTGGCTCCCTTTTTTCCTTTCCTGGGTTGAGTGAAGATTCGAACTAGCAATAGCAACATACAAAAAAGCTGATTTTTGCCAAATCTGTTTATTACAACTCACCTTGACCCTAGCATACATATTCTGCTGCAAACCCCCCTTCTGGTGGCTGGTTCTCACATCTCATTGGCACCAACATACAGTGGGGCAAAAAAGTATTTAGTCAGCCACCAATTGTGCAAGTTCTCCC